TCTGGGACTTTCTAGTGGCTATTTGCAGTTCCCCATCCCCCACTGCTACACACCTCCATTCAATTTCTTGACCCTCTGTACATCTCCCCCATCCCCTCCCACACCTGATCCTGCCCCCTTTTCCCTCCCTCTCCCTCCTGTGACTTCTTACTGCTTTTATCTAAAGTGTGCATGTATCATCAGCTCTACTATACATAGATTTTTATAATATTCTCTCCTACCCTCTCCCACTTGGAGGCATACTTTCTGTATGGACATATTTTTGTCTGATTGGTCATTTCACTAATAACCTGTTCATATCTATATAGCTGATGTTTGCTGGGAGGTAACTGTGTGAATTGCCCACTGTGGCTCTTTTTGTGCCTTATGTTATCCAGCCATGTGGATGTGATATATATTGAAGTAAAATGGCTATTACTTCATGTGATACCACTTTATTTTTAATTTTAATTTTTATAACAACTTTATAAAGATGAAATTCCAATACTGTATGATCGTCAAGCTCAGAGTATGTAATTTGTTTTTCAGAGTTTTCAGGGTGCTGTCATCCCCACCACAGTTTGAGAGTGTCTTAAAACGCTTTTCAGCATCTTAAACGGCCCACAATTAGTCTCAGTCTGTCTCCACTCATCACTTTGAACTCCCTCCACCCTTCATTGACTCTCCTTCTTGTCTCCAGCTACCCACATTCTGGACGCCTCATCAAGGATAACATGGGATGCGGTGACTGATGGCTTTGACTACATATTTGCCAAGTTCTTTCGAGTTCTAACCAGTACTACATTGGTTTTGCAGCCAAACTATATTCCATTGGCTAGATATGCATTTGTTTTTTTAATGTTACACCTTAATACTTTCTGGTGTTGCTTCTAGATACTTACCAGAAGTTTGGTTTGCAAGAATAATTTGATGTGCCAGTATCTTAGTTGCTTTTCTCTTACTGTGATAAAACACCATGACAGACACAACTTATAGAGAAAGAATGTGTTTGAGCTTTTGATTCCAGAGAGCTAGAGTTCATGACAATGGGGATAGCTTGGTGGCAGGGCAGAGAGCTCAAAGTTCACATCTGAACCTCAGCCATGAAACAGAGATTAACCTGGAAGTAGGTGAGACTTTTTAATCTCAAGCCCATCCACAGTGGCATACTTCCTCTAGGGAAGCTACACCACCTAAATCTTCCCTGAACAGTGTTACCACCTAGGAGCCAAGAGTTCAAATGTCAGAGACTATGGGGATATTCTCATTCAATCCCTGTCACCAGCTTTCTCCTTGGTACTACCCTCTGAAGCATAGAAGTTTATTATTACCACTTCAAATTATCTGAGTTTGATTGCTGTGGTTCCTATCATTTTTAAGAAATGAATTCTTAATCCAAAGTCAAGATTTATTCCTGTATTGTTTGAAAGGTCTGCAGTATTAGTCCTTAAATTTAGGTCACTTTAAGTTATTATTTTGTGTATGTGAAGTAGGCAACTAGTTCTTTTGAGAATGGATATGTCATTATACACAGATGTCATGTTGTCCTAACATTATTAAAAAGACAATCACACCAACATTCTATTCCATCTTACTACCCAAAAAACAGTGTCAAAATTTATTTGGCTATAAATTTGAATGTTTAACTCTAGACACTTCTGGTTTACTTCTGTTCCAATTCATGACAATAACTTCCTATACATTGTTGTCAGAAGCCTCTAAGGGCAGATTTATTCTTTTTAACTATATTCACTTTGCCCAGGCTATGTTCTTCTTCATTGAGAACTGCATAATAACAGTTTTCTGGAAAGCTAGCTCCTTGGGAAAAGTTTTCAGGAAAGGCATATAACTTCTTAATCCTTAACATGGTGGTTTTTATTTGTCTTCCTGGAGCCGTAAATGTCAGAGTTTGTACTCATGATTTTCCTTTCCCATCTTCAGTCTTCTTGGCTCTCCGAGTTGTCCACTTTGGATTCTTTTTTTTTTTTTTAATTTCTTTTTTTTTTTTTTGAACATGAAATGCTTTTTTATAGCATGTTTTACAAGGGGAGGGGGTAAGAGGGTCCAGGTGGTGGAAAAGTACAAAATCTTCTTGGCCTGTGCCTTGAAACATGTCATGGTCTATATGGTACACTGCCTTGAATTATGATCTACCTGCAGTTCTTCAGAAGATATGGTACACTGCTTGAGTTATGGTCTCCCTGCTATTCTTAAGAAGACATGGTACTCTGCTTTGAGTCTATCTGCAGTTGCTAAGCAGGATCTTGCAGTTGCCAAGCTTCAGAGGACATTGTGCAGGTGGGGAAAGGTAGGGGGTAAGGGTAAGGGCAAGGGTCCTGGCTTCTGGCATCTCCCCCTTCTCTACTTTGGATTCTTATTTTCCTCTTCAGGAGCTCGTTGGAGCCCCAGTAGAATTTGAGAGCCAGGTAATTATTTGCACATTAGCATGGCTTGCTGTGTGGCTTAAGCCCCTCATGGACTTAGTGCTCCAGCACCATTGTGTGTGTGGTCTGAAGGAAATAGAGGCAGCAGGCGGCTAGAACACAGGTCCTGGTCATGGCAGGCTTTTAATTTTAGAAGCTAAGCTTCTCACCTTAGAGGTCTGAAATTCTGTTGCTAGATCAGGAGAGCAAAAAATGATTATCATTGATGCTGTGCAAAGGTGGATAAGCAAACCATTCCCTTGGTGTGCCCTTCCTAGTGTACTAGGTAGCAGTGAAGCCCTGTGGGTAACTCCTAAAACACAGATTTAAGTTGATCATCCAGCTAACAGTGGTGCATACATACTGATCTCTACAAGTTGCTCTCATCACACTGCATTCCTACCTGTTTAACAGAACACTCAGGGTCTTATAAGACATACTGCAGTTGAATAGTGAACTTAATTTTTTTTTAGAATATCAAAATGAAATGATGGGTTATCTTGGGCTTGCTGCTGAGACTGTTAATGCAACATTTATGTACTGACAATGTGGTAGAAAGGCATCTCAGCTGGAGTTTTACTGCTGGGACAGAACACCCTGACCAAAATCAAGTTGGGGAGGAAAGGGTTTATTTAATCTCACAGCTTGTAGTCCATCATCCTGGGAAATCCAGATAGTAACTCAAGGCAGGGACAGAAGAAGGGACCATGAAGAAACACTGCTTGCTGGTTTGCCAGGTGTTGTTTGCTCATCCTACTTTCTTAGACCCAGGATGACCTCCACAGGAATAGTACCACTCATACCACCCACAGTGGCAGGGCCTGTCTCATCAGTCATTAACCCAGACAGTACCCCCTCAGAGTTGCCTGTGTGCCAGTTTTCTCAATTAAGATTCCCTCTTCCCAGATATTTCTAGGTTTGTGTCCAGTTGGCAAAATCAACCAACACAGAATGCTCGTAATACGATCTGTTATTGCCTCCAGTCAGTCTCCTTCCAGGTTTTCACCCTTGGGTCTAGTAAGTGAGTGGATGTAGCCAAACAAGCCAACAAACAGAAACTTTTGTTCTTCCAGATATTCCACCATAAATGTTCATTGAAAATTCCCTGTGTACTCCACACTGTAATTCCTAATTTTTGTAATTTAGAAAAAAGAAAACACAACTCTGCTCTTTGTCTAACGATGAGACATTACAACACTGCCTGTAATTTTATGGACCTATAGCAAATTAGTCTTTTCCTAACACATATTATGCTGGGAGCATGTATGTGTTGGTTAAGTCAAATAGAATGGAAATGCTGTTTGTGGCTAAAGGGATTTCACATGTAAAGGGCTAGGCAGCTCTTTTAAGGAAATGATAGTCAATTTGAGATACTTGTGAGTAGTCACTTAGGCTTGGGAGGAGGGGGGGCAGCAATAAAAAAGCTTTGCAAAAGAGTGTGTGCCCAGGGATGCAGGACACTGTGTGCCCAGGGATGCAGGA